GTGTGTGTGTGTGTCGTGGGGACGGGGGTGGGTGGGTCGGTGAGCGAGCGTAAGTGCATACGCGTCACTAAAGATCATAACCCCCAACACGTAACCTCTAACCCCCTTAACTGTCCCAGATCATAACTTGGCTTGGTCAGTGTCCACACTTTTTTGGGAAGTGTCCTACGGCGCTCGAAACGGTATAAGGTCATATGAGCATGTGGGACACATTAAACATTTCCAGTTGGTAGAAAATTTGGAATTTTCCCCGGTGATGGCCGAAGCCTACTCTTGTCGATTTTGGACCACCAAAGGATCTTTAAGGTGCACAATTTGTTCATAGGACCTCCACGATTTTTCACCCTTTTCCGAGAAGGCTAGGTGTTGGATCTTACCTACCATAAGATCTGATGTGTGGATGAAAGACAGCAGTAAGAAGGAGCCAAGGAGTAGCAGTAGAAAGGCTGCAATAAGAGTTAAAAGCCCAGAGGAAACAGCAAATGAGGTGAGGTGGTTGGGGAAGAAAGTGGAGACGACAGCAGACTACCGAACATTGTTAGAGAGCATGAAAGGAGGTGAAAGGAGACAATTTTAGAGAAGAAATTTCCCGTCCATGTCCGGATTCGAACACAGGACCTATTAAATGAGAGGCAAACACCGTAATCCCTCGACAACGAGAGCCATCTGCCCAACATTTACATGAAATATTGATGACCAAAGTTCTAAAAAAAATACCATGTCGATCGTTACAGTCAGCTTTACATAATCTGAAATTAATGGATTATATACAACATAGAGAGTGTAACGACCAGCATAAAAGCTTACTAGAAATGGTAAGCCTAGACCACAACTCGGCTTGGTTAGTGACCACTAATTTTTCAAGTTGCAAGTAAATTGTCGACCAAAGTTATATAAAAATGAATGATATGTCGGTCGTTACAATTAGTTGTGCATATAAAATAAATTAATCGCATCCAACAAACAGAGTGTCTTTCAAGTCTTCTCCGAAATATGGACATTTACGCGACTGCATTGAAACCAAAGAGTTTATATAAAGTACGAGAGTTCGTGGAAGTGACGTCATGCCTGTCAGACATGGGGACATTCTTGCCCTCAACAGCTTGGCAGGCGTCCCCCTCACCCCTCCCATTTTTTCTTAAACAATCTTACCACCCATCCCGCTCCCCAAAAGCTCAAATATATGAAACAATACCCTATCCTCACATGTCAGTGGGTGCTTGAAGATTTCCTTCTAAGATCGCAAGAAGTCTCCACTTGAGTCTCGAAAACTACCCACCCGTATGTTGTTTCTACCCTCAACGTTCAGCGTCCCATGGTATGAACATTCGTTTACGTGGGAGGCATTACAGTCGCGAGAAAACCTCTTTGATTAGAGCCCAAATTGACACATACACAACACTGGACTACGCAAATCTCCATTTTAAAACGCTAGTTTTAGATTTAGTAAGTACTTTACAGCACTTGCAACACAATAAGGTTATCTAAGTGCCAAAGATTAGAGGTGTTACAAGAGAGTAACAAACACAAAAAAGATGGAGGGGAGATAAGGACGATAGATGTTTGATAGGAAAGAAGAAGCAAACCACACCAGAGCACCCCCCAACCACCCACTAAAACGTTTGTGAAAAACGAAATGGGCAAAATGCAGAAAAAAAATAATGAAAAAGAAAGACGACACACACACACACACACACACACACACACACACACACACACACACACACACAGACACACACACAGACACACAGAAAGACACACACTCGAACTTTTAACATTATTTTGATATAAAGGGATTTCCTTGGCTTTTGTCTGTGAAACGGTGGTGAACTAACGCGGGTTTTATATTTGTAAAAAAGAAAAAGAAAATGGAACGCAACGACCAATATTGGAGCATATCATAACGATACATAGCGGTCCAAAATTACAACTGCGTGCTTATACGGGGTGCCCACTACTCTTTAAGTTTTCTATAACGCTTTCGTCAGGACTCCAGTTCGACAATTCCCTCTTCATAATGCTTCAATGACATTCATTTGCTTTTTGTGCTTAGATGTGATATTTATGTGTCCCGCAAATTTGATAGATAACCCCCCCCCCGCCCAGCGACCTTGTCATCAAATTTAGTGCCTATAAAATGCTGGATTTTATGCATACTCAATATGCTACCGTTCCAGATGTTTTAAGTGACGCATTATCTACTGACCACTCGATTTGCTCATACATTTTCTTGAGCAGTGTTGGCTTTGGATTCCAACCGTGCTTGAGGTACAAAACAAATCTCGGGCTTTTATATGATCTTATTGTGTTGCAAGTGCCCTAAGATTTAACTAAAAAAAAGAAGAAAGCTCATAATTAGTTTCCCACAATGGACGACGACAAGCTCAACTGCTTTGTGCGTGACGTAGGCGGGTGTGGAATGTTCCAGATTCTCAGTTCTGCTTCTGTCTTTGTCCTCAACTTTGCTGGAGCATGGGGCATGATGTTCATGTCTTATGGAAACTACGACCCTGGGTGGACATGTAGTGAAAGAACAGGTAATAAATCGTCACTTCTGTCCACTGAACCAGACATGACATCAGTGTCTACTGTGACGTCACACCCAGCTACCTCAAATATCAGTGCACCTGACATAGCTGATAATTGTAACCAGATGCTGTCGTGCTCGACCATGCAGTTTGATCCCGAGTCCTCCACGATTGTCACTTAGTGGTCACTGGTGTGTGACCGCTCCTGGAAAGGTTCTCTTATTATTTCTATTCAAATGGCCGGTGTCATGGTAGGGTCAATTGTCTCAGGACAGATCGGGGAGTGTTATGGTCGGAAAACGAACATGTATCTGTGGAACTTGCTCCTGGCTATCACTAACATTGTTGCTGTGTTTTCGTGCAGCTGGAGAATGTTTGCTGCAGTTCGTTTTTTTATAGGCCTCAGCGTAGGGGTCTTTTGTCCAGTTGTCAAATGTACCCATTCGAATTTGCGACTGCAAAATGGCGAGCATTTATATCTGGGTTCCCGAACTGGAATGTTGGATGCGTTACATTTGATGTGTGTGTGTATGTCTTAAAAGACTGGAAGAACATTCACATAGCTACCGCGGTGCTTTGTGGGCTGGCCATGTTACCCATGGTATGGGTGCCGGAAAGCCTCAGGTGGTTGGCAGTTCATGGGAGGGCACAAGAAGCGCAGAATGTGGCTCCGAAAATGTGCAGGATCAACGGAAAACCAATGCAAGAGAATGACGTCATTGACTTCTCTGGGTGTGAGGGAGATGAAGCGGACAAACACGCTACATTTATCCATATATTTCGACGAAGTCTCGTCAGAAAGACCATACTTTCTTGTTTGATTTTCTTCTTTTTGTCAATCATGTATTATGCCATTGGCTTCGATATTGGGTCTCTCTTTGGTGATTTTTATCTGAACTTCATTCTGTACACAGCCATCAAGATCCCAGCCTTCCCCATTGTTCCTCTCCTTGGGAATGCATTGGGCAGACGATTGGGTTCGGTAATCTTCCTGGCTGCCGCTTTCTTAGCCTCCTTGACTGTTGTAGTTCTCAGCTTCAGCATACAAGGTGATTCTTCAGGGAATATTATGACTGCTTTGACTCTTACAACCTCATTGTTTGTGGGTCTCGGCTGGGATTTAGTTGTACCGTTTGTCATAGAACTGTTCCAAACCCGTGTTCGTTCTCTGGCTTTTTCATTTAGCCTCTCAACTGCCAGATTTGGCGGCATTATGGCTCCTTTTATACTACCACGCGATATGACGAATATGTTTGTTTCGTTTCTGGTTTTTGCTGGACTCGCCTTAATCTGCTGTGTTATGATCCTTGCTCTCCCTGAGACGAACAACCGCGGTTTAGATGACGTCATGGAAACTGAGGTCCGCAGAGACGAACGTAAGGTGTCCAATAAAGAAGAAACATTAAGTAAGGATCTTCTGGAAAATACGGGGATATCACCTGGATCACAGCGTTAGTTTCAAATTCCATACGCCAACAGAAACTTGAGGTTTATTCCATTTTCTAAAGTACTGTACTTTGTGTGTGGTTTGGTCTTGAAATGTTTCTGACTTTTTTTCAACTTAAACCGAAGGTAGTAAATTCTTTATAAAGAAGCGATGCGCCAGTTTTAGCTTTCTGATAGCATGGAATCCCCAAACCTTTAATTATGGGGTTAGTGTTGTAATCAGTCTTCTTTTACTTGCAGATTATGGGAGTGATTTCATCTCGAAGTTTCTTTCTTTCTACGAGACGATTTCAGTTTTTCCTGCACATGAACTATCTATTCAGCACCATGCCGCTCTACTTCACAATTTCAAATAAATTCCAATGCTTTTGTGTGTGCAATAACGATGCATTAGTTAAGCGTCTTGGATTTTAATACGATAAATTTCAAAAATATAATTAACTCTTTAAAAATGTTCGCTTTGTTTCCAAGAAAAGTTAAACTCACAACAGCATTCAAGTCACGTTGTTTTAACTACTTTTCTTGATACCCATCCCCGAATTCATACCATGCCCTTCATCATCATAAAAAGCACAAGTATACACATGCCACATAAAATTCGATTGATACACTTATATTTTTATGTTTTTTTATGCCGTCGGGGGTGTGAAAAAAAGTTAAACGTGTCTCAAGTTCTACTTAACCGCTGGGACCATATAATCAAGGGACGTAGCAAAATCTTTTTCTCCATTCAGATTTCTATTTTACAGGTTGTACAATGTAGTAAATATGGCGGTTAAAGGAGAAATCATTAACTTCATTAATCACCGTGAGCACGCAAATGTGTGTGTGTGTGTGTGTGTGTGTGTGTGTGTGTGTGTGTGTGTGTGTGTGTGTGTGTGTGTATGTGTGTGTGTATATGTGTATGTGAGAGAGAGAAAGGGAGAGTGAGACAAAGAGAGAGATTGAGATAGAAAGGGAGAGAGAAAGAGAGAGAGAGAAAGAGTGAGAGGGAGAGGGAGAGGGAGGGAGAGAGAGAGAGAGAGAGAGAGAGAGAGAGAGAGAGAGAGAGAGAGAGAGATCTAAGCGTGCACAAGGGACAAAACTAACAATGCTAACATAACCTGTGCAGTTTGCATGTTACATTGTATTTCCTGTTTACTGCAAAACTGAGGCTTTTTGCCATATTCTATATTAGTATATTCTCACAATGCACACTGTCCGTTGTAAACGAACGTAAGATCACTAAAACCCCTTAAAAAGTGAACAAGTTACGGCCCTCCGTGGTTCCGACCCCAAACCCGGCCCCTTCATTTTTCTTTCTCTTTCTCTTGTGTTTTTCTCTCTCTCCTTCTCCCCTCTCTCACTCTCTTTATCTATCTATCTATCTATCTATCTATCTCGATCTGTCTGTCTGTCTGTCTGTCTGTCTGTCTGTCTGTCTGTCTGTCTGTCTGTCTGCCTGTCTGTCTGGCTGTCTGTCTGTCTGTCTGTCTGTCGTCAGTTTTATCGCAAACTCCCCGATTTGTTTTATGGCCCAAAACAGACAGAGACGGAGATCCTTTGTTGCTGCCCTAAACGCCAGATGGCGTAACGGGTAGTAAGTAAGTAAGCTGTGTTTGCCTCCACCAATGTTCATTAGATAGTTGGAGAAATCATTTGTCTCAGCTCTAAGCAAAACCCTCATGTTTCTTGTCAGTCTGAGCACATTAACATGCTCCCACAGCTGATATGATGATTTCAGGGTTGCATTGACTATCTGTGATCTTGAGCCATGGCGAACTACTGGTAGTATTTGGCGCCAGTCGTCATCCGACATCAGCACGGTTAGCCCACCGAACAGACAGTTATTCCCTCATATGTCTTTTGAAGCGTTCGGTCTATGGTTTTAAAGATGTGTTTATGGCCCATCGATACTTCATCAATGATGAGCAGCTCTATTTGGCGTAATAAATTGCCACTAGCATCTCGGGGACTCACACTGCACATGGACTGTACGTTCGCACTCAGAGGTATTTTGCATCTGCGGAGTAAAGTTCTGCCATTTGAGAGGAAAGTTGGTGCTATGCCTGACAGGGCTGTAGGAAGGGTGATCTTCGTAAAGGAACGGACAGCCGCAAGAATCAGGTTTATAGTGTGGGTTTTCCCAGTCCCCCCACTTGCCTCCAGGGCACATATCTTGCCTTGCTTGAGTACAACTGACTCTATCACAGCATCATACATGACTTTTTGTTCTTCATTAAGCTTTGGGAACTCTTGACTCACCTTCTTTCGCAGGTGTTTAGTATCAACATTTAACTCCTCGTGGACAATTCTTGGTTGTTCTCCCTCAACGTGACTGTGTTCTACAGGTGGCAACTGAAAGTCTTTATGCAGACTCAACCCATCATTTTCAAGAATATGCTGAAGTTGTAGAAACACTTGGTTCTCAATCTGCGGATTCAACTCTGTGACCTTGTTTCTCATCATGATGTCCCAGCACAGTTCCAATTTGTGTTCGTGCCAAAATGAGAGAGGATCAGCTGGGCAACAATAGATGAAAATGGTTGCAAAGGCACACCCGACAAAACACAAATGGCACTTCTGTTCTTGCTAACTACTCCAAAAAAGTAGAACCCTGTGACACACACACGACAAAGCACAAATCGCACTTCTGTTCTTGCGAACTACTCACACGCACGAAGAAGCACAATATGAAACAAAAGTAGTCCCCAGTAAAATATGAAATGGCTTATGGTAGAGTGAAAACATCTGAGAGCTTCGATTTACAGGAAAAACCATCAAACCTGAAAAATCAAAAAGTAGTTTCCTAACTTTGAAAAAATGCTTTGCCCACGAATCATATTTTTGTAGATTTTATGGGCACCTGTGTAAAAAGTTTTTACTGACCCCACAAGCGGGTTTAGCTCCATTATAATATGATTATAATAAGATTATTGTTAAGTAGTAATGGTGAATGCCATATTATGAAACAAACAACAACAACACCACATGTTGAATTCTTCTCTTTAGGGGCTCTCGTGGCCTAAAGGTTTAGGTGTTCGCCTCTCATTCAATAGGTCCCAGGATCGAATCCAGATAGCAACGGACATTTTTCTTCTTTAAATTGTCTCCTTTCACCTTCTTTCTTGCGCCCTAGAAATGTTCTGTCGTCTGCTTTCGCCTCCACTTTCTGAAACCCACCCCCCTCAGCTCATTTGCCCCCTCCTCTGGGCTTCTGAATCTTTCTGCAGCCTTTCTACTGCTACTCCCTGGCTCCTTCTTACTGCTGTCTTTCAGACACACCAATGATCTTATGGTAGAGAAATATCTACACTTAGCCTCAGACAAGGGCAAAAAAATCTCGGAGGTCCCGTGTGCATGTTGCGCACGTTTAAGATTCCTTGGTGGTCCAAAATCGATAAGAGTAGGCTTTGGCCGCCACCCAGGCAAAATTCAAAATTTCCTACCAACCGAAAATGTTTAATGAATGTGTCCCGCGCGCTCATATGACCTTATGCAGTTGCGAGCGCCGTAAAATAATTAAACCCCCCCCCCCCAACCCCCCGTAAAAAAACCCCTACTCTTCTCAAGGGAAACAACCTGAGGAGTATTTCGTTTTCGTAATTTGTAGAATTCTCTCCCTGAACCGGGTCCCAGCAAAGGACAAAGTACGAAACCTCATAATCACATTTTAAATTACCTAGATCTCAGCAGGTTGCACACGAAATTTATCACCTCTGTTTCGAAAATAGAAGAGACAAATGGAAGTTTGCACCTGAAGTCTCTGCTAAAATCTCATCGACACGAACAGCAAATGTTCTGTATTGAACTATCCCAAGAAATTGGAAGTTTTTCTTTAATCGACCGACACTTGAAAGCAAATTAGACAGAGCCTGATATCTCTCTTAAGAAACTGAGCCAGTAATTTCGGTTCAGAAGTTCTGAAGTGCTGCAAATACATGCGATTCTATAACATTAGCTCTTTCAACTCTTTGGCAAGTTTATTGCCAGGCTACGCGCGCAAACGACAGTCAAAAAGTGATGGAAAAGATGGTAGATATACAAGATAAATGTGAGTTCTCTGTATCCAAGGTACTCAAAATTAGCTTTTGTAAGGCGCCGGACTGCACCCAACACAACAACAGATGTTTGCTACACAGAATAACACAACACAATAACTAGGTGGAGGTAAAAGAAAGCCAGAAGCAAGATC